GGAGAGAGCCATGATGTCACCCCTGAGCCTCTTCTCAAGGCTGAACAAACCCAACTCCCTCAGCCCTTCCTCAGGTGTTCTACACCTTTGATGAGCCTCACTGGACATGTGTTCTCTACCTTTTATGAGCCTCACAGGACATGTGCTCTATACCTTTTATGAGCCTCATAGGACGTGTGTTCTAGACCTTTTATGGGTCTCATTGGACATGTGTTCTACACCTTTCATGACCTTTGTTGCCCTTCTCTGGACTCTCTCCAGTGCCTCAATGTCCTTTTTGCAGTGAGTGCCCAAACCTGACCCCAGCACTGAGCTGTGACCTCCCCAGTGCCCAGTCCAGGAAGATGAGCACTGCCCTAGTCCTGCTGCCACACTGTCCTTGCTCCAGGCCAAGATGCCCTTGGCCTCCTTGGCCATACTGTTGGCTCACACTGAGCTACTGCCACCAGCACTGCCAAGTCCCTTTGTGGCCAGCAGCAGCACCCCAAGTGCCCTGTGCCCCCTGAGCAGGTGTTGGGTTTGTGTTGGCCCTCAGGCACTACAGCCTGGACGCGTACCTGCCCCTGCGCCTGCGCCCGGAGTCCATGGAGAAGCTGCACTGCCTCCGAGCCTGCGTCATCCGCTCCCTCTACCACATGTACGAGCCCTTCGCCTCCCGAGTCTCCAGGAACCCAGCGATCCCAGACAGTACTCCCAGCACTTTAAAGAATTCCAGAGTAAGTGGGCTCGCTCAGGGGGTTGGATGTGTCTGAGCTGTTGCTGTTTCTGTTTGGTGTTTTCTCCTTTCTAGAAGGCAGCGATGTGATGGTTAGATGGTCACCGGTGGTGCTTCGGTGTGGGATGATCACTCACTCTGAGCAGGGGTTGGTTAGGTTGCTAGGTACTGGTATATTTAGTCTTTGGAGTAACTTCTGCCTATGTCCTACCATGACAACTCTGTAAGCAGCACAAGGACACTCTATGTCAGAACTGCCAGGGGTATTTGCAGCTCAGCTCCTCTGCAAAGAGGTTCCACTAGGAGCAGCTCTTCTATCTTCTGCTTTATTCTGGCCCTGTGTGGTAGAACACATCTCTCTCTGTAGCAGCCCTCAGGGAGCTCAGGGGTGACACTGATAGCCAGGAGTCATGTCCTGTAGGTCATCCCTCGTGTGGTGTCTGGGTGAGGGAGGTGGTGAGCATGGCAAACGTCAGAGCCACTGTCTGCTTTGGGACTGGGGCTGTGTGGGGCTGGAAAGGACAATTCCCTGTGCCATCCCAGCTTGGAGCACTTGCAGCAGTCCTCTTTAATTGCTGTTGACCATTAACTCTGAAATGCCTCTGTGTCTCTTGTTTGGTTTGAACTTGCAACTGGCTGATTCTCTGTGAGCAGCTTAAACAACAGTGTGAATTCTCCACCCTCCAAAGCCAAGGGCAAAACCCTGTTGAATGAGGTTTTTTTGGAGTCAAACTGAAGTGGGTTTGGTTCAGGAGTTTCAGGAGCAACTTCATCTATCCCTGTGTGACATCCCCCTTCCTTCCTTCCTTCCTTCCTCCTTCCTTCCTTCCTTCCTTCCTTGCTCTCCCCGTGGGGGTGGAGCCTGGGAATGCTGTCCCAGGGAACATCCAGCAGCACACAGGCAGGTGGTGCTGCAGCTCTGTGTGTGCTCTTATCTCTGCATCTACAGCTCTTCCTTCTCTTCCTGAGTCCCCACTGCGGGTATCATCCTTCTGAAAAATTCAAACCCCACAACATTTGGAGGAAATTCCAACCTAACCATAGTCCTGTTGCCTTCCCAGCACTGCTGGACTCTGGGTGTGTGGCTGGAAGGACTGGGAACCCCGAGGTGGTGCTGGCAGGGTCCCATCCTGGGAGCATTCATGTTGACATCATAACGGCTTTGGTGCCCACTGCTAGTGCTTCTCCTGTACTAACAGTTTGAGAAGGTCCTTGAAGTGCATCTTTGAGTGCATTTTGGTTTATTTTTCAAGCCACTGTTGAGCTTTTAATAAAAAAAAAAAGGAAATTAAATGGTGACGAGGCTTTGGTGGAACTAGAGGTTTGACCTAACCCTTTGGAGCATGGAAGAGCCACCCTGAGTCTGGGCTTGCTGTAGTGCTGCATTGCAAGGCTCTGAGCTCCACGTGTGTGACTGTGCACACAGCTGCCTCAGCACAGAGGGTTTGGAGGAGGCTCTGGCACTGCCTCCTCATGTCCTACCTTTCATGGCCTTTGGCTCTACCTTCACGGGTCCTCGCAGCGAAGGGCAATGCCTACACACACAGTGCATGTGGCAAGAGGAGAGCCCAGGCCTGGGTGTTCTCAAACCTAGCTTTTTTCTTCCCCTAGCCTAGCTTGTGTGGGACACTGGAGCCGTTATGGTGTCAGCAGGAGTGTTTGCCCTTTAAAGACTCCCCATAGTCGGCGCGGAGCTGCAGGTCGCGCCGGTCCCAGGGGCAGCGACGGCTGACAGCGACGACATCCTCTGCCCCTTAGGAGGTACTGACCATTTTGTGCTTCACTTCTTGCCATCACCAAACGAGTTGTTAGAGCAGCTTGTCTCTGCAGGTGAACTCCAGTGAATGGTGGAGTTAAACTCAGCAACCTCCAGCTGAGTTAAAACCCAAGTGGAGAGTGTTTGTGTTAGAAACAACCTGAGGGTTGCTTCCTCCCAGGTGGAGGTTGCTCAGTGTTTCTGGGCTTGCCTCCACGTGGCTTTGTTGTTCAGCTCATGGAGATGGTGGAGAGAAAGGTCCTTTAAGGACTCTTGTTGATGGATGTGACTCAGAGTTGAAGCAGAGGGTCTTGTCTCACCTGTGGTCTCTCCTTTCAGAGCCCTGTGGTGGAGGTTGTTTCATTAGGGGTCACTCCATCCTGCAATGAAATTAAAGGTGTGCTTCACCCTGCAACCCTTCTCTCTTCAGGAGAGGCTGTGTGTGGGTCACAGGGAGTTCTCTTTCCCCACATGATTCCTCCTTTCCCTGCTGACACTGGTGGAAGATAAGACCAGCTGTGCTGTGCTGGCAGCTGTGGTGAGGAAATGCTGAGGGATGGCTGGACTGCTTTGCCAGGTTCTTCCCTTGGCTGTTGAAGGCTGGTTGCTTCTACTGTCTGGCAGGC